TGAGTGACCCTTATGAAAACAAAATGCCTGTTATGTGTTACCATAAAGGTCACTTAAAAATTCATAACTCTCATATCACAAGACATGTACCATTTTCAAGCGTAATAAATGATTTGATTTGAAGTAGCTCAGTTTCTGGCAGTGAGTTTTTAATACAAATTACTCTCCCAAGTCGCACTCCAGCTGCTAAATTTTAAGTAGCCAACCAAAATTACCGAAGTAAAATCCAATTTGATAATCAACCGGGAATAGTCTTTCCCGTTTTCGTAGAATTCCGACTCTGGAACGGGATTTGGCGAACATGGTCGCATGAGAAAGGTCCCTAAACAAGATTATAGAGTGGGAACGCAGCGTTTTGAGGGCAAGAATACGACTTACGGAATTCAAATTTCGAAGGCACAAAGGAATATTTTAGTATAGGTACTTATTGCGGAGTAGGTTCTTGAAAGCATACATTCATTAAAGTGTATTCTGAAAGATTTTCCAAGAAGGAAACGTTATCCATTATAATATGTTTATTTGGGGAATAATTTATCTGAAATAAGTAGAGATTTGTATTCGCGAAAAAAGTCCTTCAGTCTTTATTTGAGCTTCTACAATTAGCACTTTTTTGCTTTTTTTCTTCAGTCGTTAAATAAATCGTTCATTAGTATTTTAACCACATACCTACCTAGTTTATAAACTAAACACTTACTCCAGCGATCCCCTTCTACAAACCTTTTTGGTTCTGTATTTGACATGCTTTTAAATAAGCTATCATAGCCAATCATAGCACTGTTATTAAAGTATCGAACAATTTTATTCAAAAAAATTGATATGATTGAAACTCGAACCTGAAACCTTTGCAGCAGAAGCAATTTGCCACGCTACCTTCCAATTTTCCAATCAATATTGTTTGCTTGTTTTACTAACAATTTGATTGAATACAGCTAATTAATTCAATTTCCAAAGTTGTGAACGTTTTTAATCCTTAAACCCCAGTTTACTAATCTTCATTAGGATAATGTACGAAATGCCTACTTTATACAGTCCTAAAATAAGCCCTAAAATCTCTATTGTTAAAAATGATTTTGTGAAAACCTTACATTTCAAATCCATGAGAAAATTCACAAGTAAAACCTAGAATTTACTAATACACGGGCTTTTACCATAGCATACGCCAAACAGCATCGTAAAATGCTAAAAGTAATATTCACTAAAGTCGACTCTACTGCCAATATTCTGTCTAAAAATGTAAAGCAAAATCCCAAACCACTTTAGTCACAAACACTTAAGTCCCAACACCTGTTTTAGAGTCAATCGTTTAAAATACGCAAATCGAATAGTATTTCGTGCCAAAGTGGACAGAAGAGTGGACATTCGGAAATTAATATCGTTTCCCGTACACGTCCCGTGTGGGGCCCGATCGGTTCCCGTTGCGATTTAAACTCGATTTAAGCGAGACAGGGATGTTTGCGACTCGATACTTTATGACGTTATGCATCGATACCTACTTTACGACTTCGGATTCGGACCGTTTATTTTGTGATTTGAGACTGTTTGAGACAGAAGCGATTTGATGGTGGTTTATTAATCTTCGCTTTCCACATTTTGAGTCACTTAAATGTCACACTGGTGATTAAATTACTTTGAGGGTGAGAATTTCTGAAAATGGAGTTCTAAATATTTGCTTTTATAACATTTTTCAATACCAATTACTGTAACTTTAAAAATATAATTGTAAATTAAAAAACAAGGCCTTCTCCATATTAGCGAGGATTAAGCAATCCGCAAAAGAGGCAGATTAACCTAAATCACCTCTATATTATTAATACAACAAGTTAGATAACCCCCTTACTGACGAGTGTTAAATCAGTTGGACCATAAGTTGAGCGTCAATTTATCGATATTTTAGAAACTTCACTCGAACAAGATTTCAATGAAAAGCTATCAGCGATAGTGATACTGTTGCAAAGGGTCGCAATGCAAAATATTCGTTGTTTTCCGATTCCGCAGCTACATTTTTTGTTCTTTTGTAACATGAAGTGTGGATTTCGATTACAAATTGTCATAGATTTTGAGTCATAGTTTTATTTTAACGGTAAACAAAGGCTTTGATTTTATTCAACCAATTTAGCCATTTAGTGACTGTAAACAAATATAACATTCTCAAATTGTTTAAATGGTTACTACAGCTTTTTTGAAGTTTATTATGCTTATTCGAAAATAAAGTTTCTTGTGGAAACTGGTTTCTACTAAGTAATATCTTTTTGCATTGTCTAGATAATCTTAAACTATAAATACGAGTATACCAAGCATTGTCTAGCACAAAATTGAACGACATAAGCAGTATAAATAACAAAACAATCTTAGACAAAAGAGAAGATCTTAAGCGTTCTTAAAGTAGGATATCGGACGCACGCGAGGCGAGCATTGGCCGTCCGGGGCGAAACCGGACGTCCGGCAGTTCTGTCCGGGTCCCGGACACAATGAAGCGAGTAGTTATAGTCCGGATTCTTCGTTTGATCTTTATTTAAACGTTTAAGGTGTGTTTAAGAGTTTCCATTTTGTTCAAGTTGATTTTCTTTACTTGTTTATTTCAGGAACAAGATTTTTTGTTTATTCTTATAGCGAAAAGTTTACGTTTTCTAAAACAATATTCAAATATCTTCAACTATGCGAGTTAGCATGTTTCTAAAAAGATATTTTGTACTTTGTGATTTTGAAGACTAGTCTATCTAATGTTCGTTCGTTCGTTCGTTCGTTTCAGCCGAAAGACGTCCACTGCTGGACAAAAGCCTCCCCCAAGGATTTCCACAAAGACCGGTCCTGCGCCGCTTGCATCCAGGTACTTCCCGCGACCTTCACCAGATCGTCGGTCCACCTAGTGGGAGGCCTGCCCACGCTACGTCTTCCAGCTCGTGGTCGCCACTCAAGAACTTTCCTGCCCCAGCGGCCATCAGCTCTTCGAGCTATGTGCCCCGCCCACTGCCACTTGATTTTAGCGATTCTGCGGGCTATGTCAGTCACTCTGGTTCTCCTACGGATCTCCTCATTTCTGATTCGATCACGCAGGGAAACTCCGAGCATAGCACGCTCCATCGCTCTTTGGGTGACCTTGAGCCTCGGACGTGAGAATTTCGCGAAGCTTCCCGAACGCTGCCCAGCCGAGTTGGATTCGACGATTAACCTCTTTCTCGAAGTTGGACCTACCTAACTGGACTGTTTGTCCCAAGTATACATAATTGTCAAAAATAATGTTCAACTTTTATAAAAGCGATATTTTAGCTTCAACAAATTATCTCGATACTCATTGAACGCTTTGTGAGCTCAAACTAATTATAACCTCCAAAAACCCGTGTATCCAATACCTACCCAGTCATAATACGTAGCGAAATCCAAGTAAACAGAAAACAATAACAGAGCGGAATATCTCAACAATCCAAGTTCCCTAAAAATATTGCAGGGAAATAAGAAAATTGAAAGCAATACGGTACCTAGTATGTTTACATTAGCCAACTGAGTTCGAGTTGGAGGCCTCGATACACACGGCCATGAACGCTGGCCAACAAACATTTTAATTTGTACATTTTTTGTTTGGAACCACCCGTTATTATGCTCGATGATTCCAAAGACACCTTCATTCTAGGTAGAAGATTTTTTTTAGTTAAATATCATTAATCTTTGCAAGCTATTTATGAAACCTTTTATTTTTATAACATGTTATGGTGCCTAAAATCGTGATATACTCAGTGTCACTCTCACAATTAAGACAATTCTAACGACACCTCTCACGCTGAAATCGATCAAACCGTTTATGATACAGAGCGTGCCAAAGACATAAATACACTCGAAAAACATAACCCTCCTTCTAGCGTAGTCGGGTAAAAAGGAACGTAAAATTTAGTTTCATGAATTATGAAGTAAATTAAAAGAGAACTTTTGATTTAGTGACACTATCCAATACGTAAGAAAAATCTTGTAAAAAACATCTTTATTCCAATGTTCCTGAAACCAATAGGCCGTGTGTATTTTTTGCTTTCCTCGATTGTACTCTCCCTTACAATAACAAAGTTTCTTCAGCCTGAGACTAAAGTATTCAAGCACTTTTACTTATATTGGTGACATAAATAACGTGTTAGCTAGCTCGAGTGAAATAAACTTGTCAAAACTTACATGTACGTAAATAGCTCAATGGGAAAGTTAAACTATTAGCTACCATAATTTATTTGGCTTTGCGGTTGAACCTACTTTAAGAATGAAAATGTACGCGAATTCCGTAGAGACCTAATAGAAAACAAAATATTTGCGGACTGGAATTGTTTGGGCGAAATGAACAACTGTTATTTTTAATATCCTTTGAATCAAAATTACAAAATATATTTTTGTTTAATGGAATAGGGCAGGGCATTCACTGTGTTATTTGTTTATGCTAGCATCCTACGTAAGAGGAATATACTCGTACAATTTATGCACAGTACGCGAACCAAAACCAAGCTGTCATTTTAAAATTCCTGGTTGGTCCATTAGTCCCTCCCAAACACTAAGGCCCAGTTGCAACATCTTACTTTAACTTTGACAAACGTCAAAAATCTGTCAAACTCCATACAAAAACCACCGGTTATCGTTAAAGTTACCGTTTGAGTTTGGTGGTGCAACTCGGCCTAAGTCAGGCAAAACACCATCAGCAATTTGGGCACACTGAAAACCAGCGTCGTGGCCTCCCTCACCGGGGGCCACGGCATATGCTGAGTTGGGTCCCATTGCGATGGACATCGCTGTGCGACAGGGTGGCACTGCTCAGTTTACTTTCACTTTCATTGTATGTTTTATGTCACCTATGTCTTATTTGCTTTTTTTTCTATTATTTTCATAATTTTGTCTTCTGTGACGTCCATGGCAATAAAAATGTTTCTTTCTTTCTTTCTTTCAATTTAATCATTGTTATTTCTCAAAAAATCCTAAGTGACTTATATGCCCTCAGTGTCAACAATTACTGACTTGTATTTTTCTGCCCACAGTGCCGATGACGCAAGTGGTGGCCGTGGCGGGCGAACCGGTGTACCTGCCGTGTGACATCTCCACGCAGGACGAGGAGGATGCTGTGCTACTCGTGCTGTGGTACAGGGAGGACTTGGGGACGCCCATTTACAGGTGAGACGAGTTTAAAAAAAATAGGAATACTAATAATAATAATAATGAATTCTTTATTGTATAACTTATTTGACAGTTTAAACTCTAGGCTAATCTTATGCTACAAAAGGCAAAATTATACATGTGCCTGAACTAGGAAATTTATTCCTGTATCTCAGGCGAAATAAAGGCTTAACTATACTTTACTTAACCATCATTAGCAAAATACATATTATTATTATACATAAATAATCCGCTTACATACAAATTATATTTATACTAAAAATATAAATCTATACACATTAAGCAAAATCTAAGAATTAAAATCATTTATTATGGTTACAGTGTGCTACTTAATATTGCTTACTTAGCGTTTTCTATTACATACGGCATGCAGGTGTCTGTGTCAACAAAAATAATAATTTACGAGTACAATGATTTTGGTTTTAAGGTTAGTAGAACAGTCTGTGATCGGTAATTTTGCAGTTATTTACTAATATTATAAATGGAACTAAATTGAATACATTATCTAAGTCAGAAATTAATACTAATAGTCACAAGACACAAATTGTCCTCTGATTTTTCCCGATGTCTGAAAGTCCTCCACCTGGACATGAGCTCCCCTGGCTTAATAGACTTCGGACGCAGGTTGGCCGTAGTAAAGACAATCTGGTCAGGTGGGGATTCTTGGATGGCTTAAACATGGAGTGCAGATGCGGTTTTGTTCCCCAGTCGATGAAACACTTGATGTCGTGCCCTGAGTGCGCAAGCAACTGCACTCAGGAGGATTTGATGAGTGCTGCTGACAACGCCACTCTTGTGGCGGAGTTTTGGGCTGACACTGTGTAGGTTTGTTGTCGACACGAAAAAATAAGAAGAAGTTGTGATGTGCCGCAGCTGGTTTTCAGAGGGTAAGTACACGCGACGAGGATTACGCACTCTTTTGACAGTGACGGCTTAACAACAGTTTGGTATGGTAGCTTATCGTCCACAGATAGGCGTAGGTTTATATTAGTATAATGACGCAAGTGGTGGCCATGGCCGGCAAGCTGGTGGTCCTTTCGTGCGACATCTCCACGCAGGACGAGGAGGATTCCGTGCTACTCGTGCTTTGGTACAGGGAGGACTTGGGGACGCCCATTCACAGGTGAGGGGACTCTATATTTTCGTTCGTTTCAGCCAAATGACGACCACTGGACAAAGGCTTCCCTCAAGGATTTCCACAGAACTGCGCCGCCCGCAGCCAAGCAGCTCCTGTGACCTTCACCAGATCGTTGTTCTACCTAGTGGGGGGCCTGCCCGAACTACGTCTTCCGGCCCGTGGTCGCCGCTCGAGAACTTTGCCCCAGCGGCCATCAGCTCCACGAGCTATGTGCCCTGCCCACTGCCACTCTAATCGAATCTAGACTCAGGTCTCACCTAACCACTAAAATCCAGATGGTTATGATGATGATACAGGCCTCCCCAGCAGGCCAAGCTAATCCTTATTACTGTAGGAGTAAGAACGAATTTACATTTCTTCCTGGTAAAATATGGGCCAACAAATAAAAAAGTTGCGCCAACATTTTAGTACCTACATTGTTCAGTGCCTTTTCTTGTCACCAACGTACTCATTGCAGTGAGCGTTAACGAGCTTTCTTTGCAACTTTCAAAGCACAAAAAGCTGTCATAAAAGTTATTAAAAGGCAAAGTATAACAGGCGTGAGTGAAGTTCAAAGAAGTTCAACATACGATTTAATGTATATTAATTTTAGTTAGGTAGTTAAAACATTCAAATGATAATAAAAAAATAAAATGTGTGTCACTGCGAAATTATAATATTTTAGCATGACGTCTTATACAACAGTTTGTGGGCATTTTCATATCTAGGTACGTGTCTACTTTATTGCAGTCCAATGCAAGATACAGGCCAAAAGCAAAAGAGTTTTTTTACAAATTTTATTTTTGAGTCAGTTCCATCGAAATGTTTCATAGACCAGTATCACCCCTTTCTTCTTCTTTTGATGTGTCTTTCCCATTTCAATTGGAGTCGGCCCTCCTTTTCACCCAACTTCGTCTAATCTAATACAATTAATTTAATAACATCACCTACACTCGGCATCAAATAAATCGCACCTCCCGCGACAAGCACTTATCAAACGTATGCATCCCCACTTCCCACCAACATTGGTACCATTTTAAAGCCTAATGCTAAACTTCATTTCATTAAAGGAAAGGTTCTTACCCCAAAAATGTGTCTTCAGAAGGATCCAGAGTCACTACTTCAAAAAATAGGTATTTACGCTTGGGCCAACTTTTATGGCTATAAAACTGTTAAATTGGGATTAATTGCTATCCATCTGTTAAAAAGGACACGTAAGATCATTATTTGGTTTTATAACCACAAAAATTGGTCTACTTGGGCCCATAGGTGAGCCCCAAGTGAGGCCTTTTTTCAAGTCACATTTATGGTACATGTTAATTGTTTATAAAAAAATTAAATGTGTTTTTCTTTAACTTTATTTATTGGGCTTTCAAATAACACCAATATTGTTGGGGCACCATGATTGTGACAGAAGAAAATCGTCGCGGAAGGTGCGGTTTATTTGATGTTGAGTGTATTTACTATTCACATGGTAATCAATATCGCACCAACTAGCAAAATGACTTGATGAACAATTCACGCGATCACGTCCAAATCAGACGTGCAATCACGTCACTTGACGCGATTCAGTAATTCCATTCACACAGATTGCTTGATGAGCTGTACACTTGAACCGGTCGATGAGGATTTCCTTCGCTTATTGGCAAATACCATAAACACTACTCCAACTAAACACGGCCGTGAATTATCAACCCACTTTGGGGCTGGTTCAAGGTTTGAAATAAAAGCGTTTTTCTGGATTAGGAAGTTGCTTTAATTTTTTAATAGAACAACGAAGTGCTGGTGATTACTTATGAATGATCAAAATGAATCCATTCAGTTATTGTAAGTGTGTAGTATCTTAAGTTTTTACAAACGTGGGTCTTTTGTCCACAGAGGACACGTAGTTTCATTCGATGTAGTTTGACATCTACTTCATAGTCATTGATGGACAAAACATTAATTTGTTGGTTCATTTTGATACTAGTAAATGGTTAATTAAATGACAAAAGTGACTGACTTTCTTCCGTCACATATATTCATCACAGCCTCACAGAATGTCGTCCCTAAGTAGTGGTAAAGCAAAGCTAAGTTGGGACGCGTATAGTGCCTTCCAATCATCTTTGAGCTAATAAGGAATTTTTATTTTTATTTATTAATTTTTTGCTAGTTTTCTGTCACTTGCACCACAGCCTCACCTCACTGAGTTCTTGAGCGCCTCAAACGCGACAGGCCTTGAAACTTGACAAGAGCTTTAGTTTAATCGCTTTGTTTGATATTCCCTTAATAAGCTCATATTGATTTCTCCACCCTCCTTGTTTTGTGATTCCAAAACACGAGAAAGAAAATATTATGAGATTATGAGAAGATTATGAGACATGTAGAGGCTCCACGATTTGTAAGAACTATTTATTAGTCTAAACAAATAAAGAAATTTTGACTTTGACTTTGACTTTGAGATTGGTAAAAATGAGGCGTGAAACGATTCTTCTTCTAGGCGATGACGTCAAAGTTCAAGAGGTTGAGAAAATTCTTAATTTTTTGTTATTTTGTTATTTTTTTAACTTGAATCAACAGGATGAGAGTTCGCTACAAGACGAGAGTTCCGTACCTATAAAATGACGCTCAAATACACCGTCAAAGAAATATCAAGTTCTAATTTAAATCAAGGTATTATTTATGACGTGCGGGTTTGTAATTGTATTGAAACGTGCATGTGACGTATGATGTACACTCTTAAAACTTAACATACTCGTAGAGAAATAAAAAGTCCTTTCAGTATGAATCAGATTTTATCGAACTCTACAGAATATTTTCCTTTGTCCTTTCCCACCAAACGCTTGATCAACATTGTGAAACTATAAAAATGCTAGAAACATATTTCATTCCACTTTTAGTTGGATTATTCAAAACAATATCCGTTTATACTTTTTTCATGCAAATGCAATTCACATTTTTATTATTTTCAATATGGTTTATTAGCAGTCTATGTAACTTGATAAATTCGTTGAATTTATAAAAAAAATATCAATCAACTATTCGCTGGGGGATAGAAAATTACTACTGATATTTTTGTAGTTTGAATGAAGCATATTATATGCGGTTATAGTGCGACAAAGCTTTTTGTATATGGAGAGATTTATCTGGGGATAATAATAATATCATCATTAATAGAGGAAGGAATGACAGTTCGTTCGTTTCAGCCAAATGACGTCCACTGCTGGACAAAGGCCTCCCCCAAGGAATGACAGTAATCTATTATATAAAAGAAAGTCGTGTTAGTTACTCCAGTTATAACTCAAGAACGGCTGAACTGATTTAGCTGAAAATTGTCAGGGTGGTAGTTTAGAGCCAGGAGAAGGACATAGGATACTTTTTATCCCGTTATTTATTGCCATTAAGGCGGAACAAAGTTCGCCGGGTCAGCTAGTATTAATATAATAGTGACTAAGTTGCTTGCGCTGCTTCTTCTCAGCACTGGCCCATTTATTGTCCTGAAGCAGTGGTAGGGTTAATACTGGGACGTGTAAAAGTGCTTTAAAAAGCCTACTTGCATAAATAAATGAGTTTTATGAGGTTTTTATGAGTTTATCATAATAACTCAAAAGCGGCTGGTCCTCTTATAGTTTTACTCATTTATTCTCTTTGCCCGCAGCGTCGACGCCCGCGAGAGAGACTTCGGGGTAGCAGAGCGGTGGTCAGACGAGAGCGTCTTCGCGTCCAGGGCCTACTTCCTGCCAGAGAGGAGGCCGGCTGAACTGGGAGTGGACCGGGTCCGTGCCTCCGACCAGGGCGTGTACCGGTGCCGGGTCGACTTCAAACAGGCCCAGACGAGGAACTCGAGGGTCAACCTCACTGTCATTGGTAAGTTTATGATTTCATTGAGAGCTCTCAAGTTTTTCACCCCCAAGAAAAACTTCGGGGTTGCAGAGCGTGGTCAGACGAGAGCGCCTTCGGGTCGAGAGCCTACTTCCTACCAGAGAGGAGGCCAGCTGAACTGGGAGTGGACCGAGTCCGCGCGTCTGACCAGGGCGTGTACCGGTGCCGGGTCGACTTCAAACAGGCCCAGACGAGGAACTCGAGGGTCAACCTCACTGTCATTGGTAAGTTTATGATTTCATTGAGAGCTCTCAAGTTTTTCACCCCCAAGAAAAACTTCGGGGTTGCAGAGCGTGGTCAGACGAGAGCGCCTTCGGGTCGAGAGCCTACTTCCTACCAGAGAGGAGGCCAGCTGAACTGGGAGTGGACCGAGTCCGCGCGTCTGACCAGGGCGTGTACCGGTGCCGGGTCGACTTCAAACAGGCCCAGACGAGGAACTCGAGGGTCAACCTCACTGTCATTGGTAAGTTTATGATTTCATTGAGAGCTCTCAAGTTTTTCACCCCCAAGAAAAACTTCGGGGTTGCAGAGCGTGGTCAGACGAGAGCGCCTTCGGGTCGAGAGCCTACTTCCTACCAGAGAGGAGGCCAGCTGAACTGGGAGTGGACCGAGTCCGCGCGTCTGACCAGGGCGTGTACCGGTGCCGGGTTGACTTCAAACAGGCCCAGACTAGGAACTCGAGGGTCAACCTCACTGTCATTGGTAAGTTTATGATTTCATTGAGAACCCTCAAGTTTTTCGCCCGCAAGATAGACTTCGGGGTAGCAGAGCGGTGGTCAGACGAGAGCGTCTTCGCATCGAGAGCCTATTTCCTACCAGAGAGGAGGCCGGCTGAATTGGGAGTGGACCGGGTCCGTGCCTCCGATCAGGGCGTGTACTGGTGCCGGATCGACTTCAAACAGGCCCAGACCAGGAACTCGAGGGTCAACCTTACTGTCATTGGTAAGTTTATGAACTCCGAAAGGATTTTTTTATTGAAAGCCCTCAAATTTTTCGCCCGCAAGATAGACTTCGGGGTAGATTGCAGAGTGGTAGTCAGTCGACCTCATTGTCATTGGTAAGTAAGTTTACGGTGGCTAGATGAGAGTTTCTATGCGTCCAGGGCCTAATCCCTCCCGGAGAGGATAGACTATGGATTCGTAGTTAGGTAACAAAACAGCAGTAAGGCCCTGGTCTTGGTTATGATGTCGCATTAATATCCTGTGCAATATACTCGTTAGTGCGAGTTCCAGTAGTATGGAAGCTGAAAATTTGTGTCAATGACATCAATACAAGACTAGTCGACACCACAGCTCTTGTGCATTGCTTCACTGTCAATCAAAACAAAGCAAAATCTTCTAGGAGCTAATATTTGAAACTAACACAGTTCATTAAGCATCTGCGTCTCCTAACTCGACGAAAATAAAATGCTTTTGTGTTCTAGACAATAAAGTCCGTTGTTTATAGTAAATACGTTTACTAAAGCTAACAAATGCGGCATGAAGCAGCACAATGGCGCGCGTCTTGTTGCGGAATTTGCGAATGAGATTGTTTTTGTTTAAATAATGAACGAGCTAACAATTTTAACTATTTAATTAGTGATAATAAGCTTTCAAGATTTACTTAATGAATGGCAAAAAAGATGGGATACGTCAGTCAAAGGACGTCACTTATATAAATTCTTCCCGAATGTACGCGAACGTCTAACTAGGCGATGGTTAGAAATCGACCATTGCTCGTCACAGTTCCTCACGGGACATGGCAACTTTAAACATAAACTTCACGAATTCAAACTAGTTCCGNTCATTGAGAGCTCTCAAGTTTTTCACCCCCAAGAAAAACTTCGGGGTAGCAGAGCGTGGTCAGACGAGAGCGCCTTCGCATCGAGAGCCAGTAGGAAGTATCCTACCAGAGAGGAGGCCAGCTGAACTGGGAGTGGACCGGGTCCGTGCCTCCGATCAGGGCGTGTACCGGTGCCGGGTCGACTTCAAACAGGCCCAGACGAGGAACTCGAGGGTCAACCTCACTGTCATTGGTAAGTTTATGATTTCATTGAGAGCTCTCAAGTTTTTCACCCCCAAGAAAAACTTCGGGGTTGCAGAGCGTGGTCAGACGAGAGCGCCTTCGGGTCGAGAGCCTACTTCCTACCAGAGAGGAGGCCAGCTGAACTGGGTGTGGACCGGGTCCGCGCCTCCGACCAGGGCGTGTACCGGTGCCGGGTCGACTTCAAGCAGGCTCAGACCAGGAACTCGAGGGTCAACCTTACTGTCTTTGGTAAGTTTATGAACTCCGAAAGGATTTTTTTATTGAAAGCCCTCAAATTTTTCGCCCGCAAGATAGACTTCGGGGTAGCAGAGCGTGGTCAGACGAGAGCTTCTTCGCATCGAGAGCCTACTTCCTACCAGAGAGGAGGCCGGCTGAACTGGGAGTGGACCGAGTCCGCGCCTCCGATCAAGGTGTGTACCGGCGCGGTGCCGGGTCGACTTCAAACAGGCCCAGACGAGGAACTCGAGGGTCAACCTTACTGTCATTGGTGAGTTTATGGTGGTCAGAATAGAGTCTCTTTGCGTCCGGGGCCTAATTCTTCCCAGAGAGGATATACTATGATACTATGACTCATAGTTAGGTAACAAAACAGCAGTAAGGGTCTGATCTTGGTTATGGTGTCACATTAATATCCTGTGCAATATACTCGGTAGTGCGAGTTCCAGAAGTAAGGAACCTGAAAATTGGTGTCAATGACATCAATACAAGACTAGTGTCGACACCATTGCTCTTATGCATTGCTTCACTGTCAATCAAAACAAAGCAAAATCTTCCAGAGCGAGGTGTTAACTCTTCTCGGAGCTAATATTTGAAACTAACACAGTTCATTAAGCATCTGCGTCTCCTGACTCGACGAAAATAAAATGTTTTTGTGTTCTAGACACAATAAAGTCCGCTGTTTATAGTAAATACGTTTGCTAAAGCTAACAAATGCGGCATGTAGCAGCACAATGGTGCGCGTCTTGTTGCGGAATTTGCGAATGAGATTGTTTTTGTTTAAATAATGAACGAGGTAACAATTTTAACTATTTAATTAGTGGTAATAAGCTTTCAGGGTATATTCATAATTAATTAAGTATTTTTACAATGAAAATTTCACGACCTCCGTGGTTGAGGATTCCTGGTGAAGCTCGCTTCCACCTTTGGCCTGATCATCACTTACCATCAGGTGAGATACAGGCAGAGCTTCCTCGTTGTGAATAAAAAAAACATGTGTGGTAACATCACTTACCGAATTTAAGGAAGAAAATTAAATGTATGCTTTCCCACCCGGTTAACTGCGTTTGATATCAAAAAGAGTTCATTGTTTAACAAACCATTTAACCAATATTGTATAATTAGTTTTAAATCTTATAGCGTCTCAATATGGAGTTCAAAATACGCCACCGTGTAAAAACGCATCCTTGTTTTATAGAAAGTTGGACTTTCTCAATCCGAACGTTCAGTTCTCAGAGGGGACACAATATTGATGAATCAATTCGCATAATTTTACTGTTGCCAGCTTATTTATTGTGTTGTGAAAATAAATGATGTTGGGGCCAGATTCTTGCCCAAACATCATTACTTGACTTAAGGTCCTACGTCCACTAGATGGGGCAGAGGGCTTATTTATAAGACCTTTAAACAGTTCTTATAACAACAAAGTCTGCATAGCAAATACTTTAACAGTTAACTAGACCCAACAAACGGCATGTGGCACACAACGCATTTTGTAGGAATAAGAACCAGATTATTCGGTAAAGTGCGCGACACTTGGACCGAAGCACCAACACAAAGGCGTGCTAAATATGTCAAGGAGCACGTTTAGTTGTGCTGGAATGCAGTAGAAGGATCCGGGAGATTGCAAATCTAGTTTTCATAAAATAAGTTAAAGCAAGCAGATAAATATTTTTGTTATGTGATAAAAAGGAATCAAATCCTGAAAACTGGACCTAGTTTAGTGGTTTTACTAAATGGCTATTCTACGTACAAGAGATTGTGAAAAATACATGGATCACAAATTTTCTTTGAAGATATTGAAAGAAAGAAAAAATATTTATGTGGGATTCATTAATAGGTAGGTGTTAAGAATTATACCTATAAGTAGTAGCCTTGGTGGACCAAGCGGAGCAGAGCGGAGAAGTGTCGGCCGTCAAATTCCATAGAATTTGACAGCGGTGGTGACACGACGTGGGCGGAGAAGTGGAAATAATGAAATGCGATTGGTAATTCAAAACATTTCTCCGCTCTGCTCCGCCTTGGTGAAAACCAGGTCTATTCTTCTGGGTAAACTCGCTCCTCAAAACATTGCTTTGCACCCTTAAAAACTATCACGAACAATGCCAATGCGAATCAACTCAACACAGTTTTTAAAAAATCTCAAAAAAAAAACAAAATCAGAAATATTTTATTTAATTTTGACCACTAGTTGCACTTGTGAACGTCAAAATACAGTATAAAAACGTAGCCTTTAATTCAGCTATTTTTTTTTTCTTTATTAAGGAAACAAACAGCATGAGTTTATACATGTGAACTTAAAAAATAAAAACAGTACAGTAGCCTAATCAGTTTCCACAGATAAACTTTACAAGTTAATCAATACTCTTCTGATTTCATTGACCCTACGAGTATCTTACTCTCTATCTTTATAAGAATTGAGTCTATAGAAACTTGCTATCAGAATCACAAGGAAATCTGGGGCCATAACAATTTTATAAAGGTAGCCCAACCCAGACCTTTGAANAGATAGGCCCCCTTAATTTAATTTATTGTCCGTGGTGCATAATCTTTTTCTTAAAGGTTTTAAACCTTTGTTTGTCACCTGTCATCCGCTTTGCAATGGAGGGAAGTCGAACCTTAATTTCGAACTCCTCCTATGTTCTTCTGATTAATTTCGTTGCGGGTCCAATGACAGTTTAACTTTCCCCCGGGACAAACTTGACCTTCATTGGTTGGGTTTTTGTGGCGGTCAAGCTGTAGATCCTGGCTACACAGGAGTTGCAGTGGTGGAAACGAGAGGTGGGAATAGTCCCGTAAGCTTTCAGGGTGTATTCATAATGAATTAAGTATTTTCACAATGAATTTTTCACACTAGTGAAACGACCTCCGTGGTTGAGGATTCCGGGTGAAGCTCGCTTCCACCTTTGGCCTGATCATAACTAACCATCAGGTGAGATACAGGCCAAGAGTTTCCTCGTTGTGAATAAAAAAAAGATGTGTGATAACATCACTTACCGAATTTAAGGAAGAAAATTAAATGTATACTTTCCCACGCGGTTAACTGCGTTTGATATCAAAAAGAGTTCATTGTTTAACAAACCATTTAACCAATATTGTATAATTAGTTTTAAATCTTATAGCGTCTCAATATGGAGTTCAAAATACGCCACCGTGTAAAAACGCATCCTTGTTTTATAGAAAGTTGGACTTTCTCAATCCGAACGTTCAGTTCTCAGATGGGACACAATATTGATAAATCAATTCGCATAATTTTACTGTTGCCAGCTTATTTATTGTGTTGTGAAAATAAATGATGTTGGGGCCAGATTCTTGCCCAAACATCATTACTTGACTTAAGGTCCTACGTCCACTAGATGGGACAGAGGGCGTATTTATAAGACCTTTTAACAGTTCTTATAACAACAAAGTCTGCAAAGCAAATACTTTAACAGTTAACTGGACCTAACAAACTGCATGAGGCACACAACGCATTTTGTAGGAACAAGAACCAGATTATTCGGCAAAGTGCGCGACACTTGGACCGAAGCACCAACACAAAGGCGTGCTAAATATGTCAAGGAGCACGTTTAGTTCTGCTGGAATGCAGTAGAAGGATCCGGGAGATTGCAAATCTAGTTTTCATAAAATAAGTTAAAGCAAGCAGATAAATATTTTTGTTATGTGATAAAAAGGAACAAAATCCTGAAAACTGGACCTAGTTTAGTGGTTTTACTAAATAGCTATTCTACGTAGGTACAAGAGATGTTGTAGATCTCTAATTTTCTTTAAAGATATTGAAAGAAAGAAAAAATATTTATGTGGGATTTATTAATAGGTGTTAAGAATTATACCTACTCGCAGTATGAGGCCCGGTTTCCACCAAGACGGAGAAGAGCGAAGCATAGCGGAGAAGTATCGGGCCGTCAAATTGTGACCAGACTGACAGCGGCAGTGACATGGCGCGGACCGGCTGTACGGAGAAGTGTAAATAATGAAATCTGTTTGGTTGTTCAAAACACTTTTCCGATCTGCTCCGTTTTGGTGGAAAACGGACCTATTCTTCTAGGCATGCTCGTTCCACAAAACATTGCTCTGCACCCTTCTCTGGTGAGGTTTCTATCAAGAGCAAGCCATACTACACTAAAAACTATCACGAACGATGCCAATGGGAATCAACTTAACACAATTTTTAAAAAATCTCAAAATAATTAAAATCAAATTTATTTTATTTAATTTTGACCACTAGTCTGTAGCACTTGTGAACGTCAAATACAGTATAAAAAAGGTAGCCTTTAATTTTTATTCATTCAGCTAATTTAATCAATATTCTTCTGATTAATTTGACCCTACGAGTATCTTACTCTCTATCTTTATAAGAATTGAGTCTATAGAAACTTGCTATCAGAATTACAAGGAAATCTGGGGCAATAACAATTTGATAAAGGTAGCCCAGCCCAGACCTTTAAAGGTAACAATCTCGGAATGAGAAACGAATGGAGGAAAAATTTTCTACTTCATTTGCCGACGGCAGTTATGCCGATCGTAATGATAATTGGAAATCCCGACTCTATCAGTATTGATAATGAGATAGATATAATTTCATGGTCTTTGTTCCTTGCTTCTTCGCAATATAGCTTTTTACTTTACTTGGGTGGCTTTATTGAATTTCAAGTGATACGGAACTTTTGTTGTAAGAAAATGTAGTGAGAATTTATTGATAGTGTTTTGTTTCTTGTGAAATAAGAAGAACGTTCTATTATTACCTAGAGTGTATTTCATATTTTTAAACGACTTCAAAAAAGGAAGAGGTTATAGTAGGTACGATTCAATGCAAATATAGGGTGTGGTTTTGTAAAACAACGCCCATCTCAGGGGTGGTAGTACACATGAAATCAATTAAAAGAAATATAAATAAAATGTTAGCTAATTACTTTATTAGTAAAAACCCTGGTTCAAACGTCTCCTAAAAGGATACACTTTTGTAGTAAAAATAAAGACAAAATCACTCATCGGACTTGTCTCATTTTAAAAGGATATCATCGATTTCAATTACACCCTGTATTATAAAGTTTGCTTTACCTCACCTCTAATTAACACATCGTTCTTTTCTCTTTCTTCCATGGTTTTTTTCTAATCATAAATTTTTTTGTTACCAGTGCCTCCAAACAAGATGATCATCATCGACGACAAGGGTGACGTCAAGCAGGCCATCGTCGGGCCTTACATCGAGGGCGACTCCTTTACGCTCAAATGTGACGTCTCAGGAGGTGAGTGAACCCTGCGGGAGTACGAGTGATGTGACTCGTATAATATGCCAGAGGTAACGGAACTAAAAAGAAAAATTAACTATGAATATACAGGGGGACCCAAAAAGTAGAGTCAAGCACAAAAATTTAAGGCTGGTTTTAGAGTCACGCTGACGCACGCTGACCGTCAGCGCTGACAGGCGAAATGTATGAAGCGTCGGCGCCAAGCGATCAGCGTCACCCAGTAACGTTCCCTTCAATTACATACATATTTATCTGTCAGCGCCGACGATCAGCGAGCGGTCAGCGCGATTCTAAAACCCGCCTAAAACAATCATAACTCGAAAACTTTTAAAAATTGCGGAACATACATGGGGTGATTCGGTTAGCCCTAGTGATCGGCTTGACACTACTTTTTGGGACACCTGTATGAACTGCTTCTCTCTTATTATCAGGATCATTGGTAGGTACTTAAACAACATAGAAATTAAAAAAAAAACATCATCAAACTTTGATATTAGGCTGTTGTAGTTTGAAATAGATTTGATTACACGTGCCTTTACGAAAGGAACAAAAAAAACAAGTTTGACGCCCAACAAAAAAAAAAGACTAATTTAAACTTTATTCATAAAGAAGCTCCTTAATTTTGAGAATTAAGAGCTGTTTTAATAGTGATTGATTTTATTTTATGCATGATACATGCATCAGATCAAAGCAATTTACCTTTTTCGACGGCGTTTTTATAGGTAATTTCAGCTTAAAATGTACCGATTACCACCTGACAAACCGTACTCCGAAATCGGAAACAAATTTATAAGGGCCCGAGATAACAGCCAAAATTAAGCGTTCCCGAGTTCTCCCATAAATTAATACATTTCGCACCCTCATTATGAACCTACGTCGTGTTAAGATGTAAAAGCCAGTACGTTTTTTACTCACCAGAAATGGCAATGCCAGATTTTGTGTGGAAGGTGGCGTCTTTTTTTTTCGCGCGGCCATTTTTGCGCGCAAGTTTTGTAAGAAATTGCAACAAAATATTGCGCTATTTTTTATTGTGCTGATTCTGCTCCATACTGATGTCTGGAGCCTTTAATGGATGGTATTGTTTGTTTACACATACAATGTCAATATTTTGTTGCAATTTGTTACAAAACTTGTGCGCAAAAAGCAAATCTAGTATGTAAAATCATCAAACTTCTAATGCTCGTAACTCAATTCAGACTGAGTGTAGAGGTATTACGTCATGTCATAGTAAGTTTGGTTTATTACACTATTTTGTAATCAAAAAACAAGGTTTGGTCGATGGGGCCGCACAAAAAAAAGGAGCCAATTTCCGGCATTGTCTTTTACCTATCTAAGTACAGTCGATGGTACAGTCGACAGCACGTCATATACATAGGGCTATACATTTTGTTGTAAAATTGAACCTATCATCGCTTCATTATCGACATTCAACCAGCTAGCACTAACGTGTTGCGAACTCCTCGAATTCGCTGCCTGTTGATATCTTTTCGAACACTATAATGTGGACATCTTCAAGGCGAGATTGAATAGATACTGGGCACTGGGCAGGTACATATAATAATAATAATAAATACTCTTTATTGCACACCAAAGAACAGAACAGAAAGAAACATAATATGTGCCACGCTAGACTCCATCTTACTTAAAATCATCAAGTTTTATTGCTGTCCTTTGCTGCATTACAGAAACCTTAAAATACTTAGGTATAATAATTACAGTTTTTATCAAGCCTAACACTATGAGATCTTATGTACAGTCACGGAATGAAAAGGTTCGTCAGTTTTCAAATTGATTCCTTGAATGAATTGCGAGCACATATTACCTTTTGAAACTATGTTACAGAATAATCTTGAGTTAGAGAAAATAATCTTTAACTGTTCGTCAGTAAAGTTCAAAATTATTCAGATCAAAGTTGTTTGACGATTTATCTTGTCAAGAAGATTATTATGATTGATAATAAACTAAAACCTTCTTTTTGGTTCAAACTGCCATTATTATTTCTATTAAATAAAAAAAACTATTGTCAATTGGTCAATGTCATCATAGCATTGCACTGATGGGATAGAAAAATAAACAAGCAAAACCTTATCCGTTAGCAAACGTCATATTTATTTCAATGTTAGCAGCACTGTTTCTTGCACTGTTATGTTGGCAGGTTTGACTCTTACAGTACCTAGTGCAAGCGAAAACCGACACTAAGGTGACGAACCTTTTCATTCCGCGACTGTACCTAGTTATAGATAACCTATTACAAAATAGGTTCTCTTTTTTCAACAAGTTTGTATAGTCTAATCTAATGTACTTATTTAGTACCAATCGACTGCATAAATATTAAAATGTTTCTATCTGTTATACCTGCGCTGTGTACATTAACATTGACAGATTTTGTTACGTAAAAACTCACCTCACCCTTTTCATTCTGTTTTATATTCATAATGGATTCGGACGAGTTATCCTCTATAAGGGGGAAATTAATTAATTTTCAACAACCTGAATTTATTACTTTTACTCGATTGTAGCTGGACGAAAGGAGTTAGGCGACAGCCTACTATTATGAATTAATAACGTAGCTACGTACTCGTATTGTCACAGAATAAGCATCTATAGTAGGTACTTTAGAAATAATTTCTGACGAAGTAAGAGTTATTGAGTTTTATGAATAAGAGATATAGCATTGAAAATTATAGCAACTGTACTATTTTGGCACATGAGCTTATAAGGCTTACCAACAACAAAATGTAAAACTATAGAAAGATATTTATAAGGTTCTTATTTCCCAGGAAAATGTATACAGGGTGAAAGTCCAAATTATTAGGAGCGACTCTGAATCAGTAACTTAATCGCTTTACATAAAGAAAACGCTTTTTTTTTCATTATTTAATTATTTTTATCCGCTGCGGTTCAAAATTGGCAAAGGTGGATTTACTTTGTTCATAGAAAAGTATGCTCACACATGTAACTGCAAAGTTTAATACACATAATGGTGGGCAAAAATAAGCCTTGACCTTTTAAATTTAAGATATGAGGCACTCGCGAATTAGATTTCCAATAATTTTGTTTTGAGAAAAATACCACGATTAAAAATAATTATGATAAAGTAGTACCTATTGTTACATTGTTATATACTCGTAGAGCTTATTAAAAAACTGGATGTTGTTTGTAAAATCACCCTGTATTTTCCACAAAATTTCTTCTTCCCAATAGCCTTCAAATTATGTTCTATCCTTTATCAAACGGGGAAGCAGCACTTTTTATCAACTCAGAACTTAAATATTCATTTTCTTAAGTGAACGCTTGTCTAATCACTTTTAGATCCATCTTCCCCGAAACTCGATTAACATTCAACATCTTTTAATTGAATAACTTAATTTAGTTCTTCGCTAGAAGACTGGCGTATAGAAGATATTGATACAGTAGGCTTCATTTTAGGTAAATAGATGAACATTTTTATGCATGACAAAGCAGGCATTTGACCGTAATCGCACCTGGTGTTAAGTGAAATGCAGTCTAGGATGGTACATATCTGCCCTGTAAGTGCCTATTCACTCTCGCCTTGAAAAGGCCCGGATTAAGTGTTCCTTGTGTAACTTGAACCTTCTATAAAATTCATCGATTTATTTTGAACCGTATATGAAATACAGATCGTTCCAAATCCACTTATAAATTAAAGGATACAAAAAGATTGTAAATATTTTTTAGCATTTAGTTTCTTCGGACTAATTTCCGTCATAGTCCAATTTCAGAATATACAATAAACACATTTTATATTTGTAATGTTTGATTTTATAAAGTACTAGCGACCCGCCCTGGCTTCGCACGGTTGCTAAGTATACATTAAACCTTACTCTTGAATCACTCTATCTAATACAAAAAACCGCATCAAAATCCGTTGCGTAGTTATAAAGATCAAAGCATATAGAGAGGCCTATGTTCAGCAGTGGACGTCTTATGACTGAAATGATAATGATAGAACATACAAAAGATTGTATTTGTAGTGAGCCCTTTGTATTTTTTCGATTGTGACCAATATTGTGCCAATATTCACAATTATATTAGCATAATTTTTATTATAGGTATCTATTCCGCGAATTCTTTTGCTCTTTGATGATTTAGTTTCACCGTTATTTGATTGTTATTTTCTTCATTTGTCTCGAAGCGAAGTTTTGTTATGACTTCCAAAACATTTCGCCGACCAGTTTTAATGAAAATTATTGAGAAAACGAAGAACTTTCGTTTTGTTGCCTTTTATTTTTGCCACCTGGCATAACAACGAGAATCATTCGTTAGTAGTTGTTGATTAAAATTATAATATTAATAGTTTCATGAGTAAATAAACTACATTTGCGAAAATTTCCACGAAAAACACTGCTTTCAAAAATCTCATAGAGATTGAAATACGAGTAATTTCGAACTTGACTAAACTGATTTTTTTATAAAAGAAACCTTTTTGTAAAAGGTTTATTTCTCAAAGGTATTATAATTTCAGTAATGCCATCGCAGATTGGTTTTTCAATACTTTTTTTTATATTTTAGGGGTATGTCAAAGGTCAAGCTGCCTCCCATAGCAATTCATCCATTCTGAAACACCCTGTAGCAAGTTAGGTGAAGCATAACTGAATTACAGATTTTAACATAACTTTTTACACATTTGGTCTAGACTTAATTGTTATTTTTAGAATAATGTAAACTTTTTTCCTTCAGGTCGTCCAAGGCCCTGGGTCAAATGGTTCAGGGATGAAATTGAGACTGACACTCCTGCCTCCCCCCTTTCTGGAAATGGAGTTCGGGGTATCCTGAGGGTGGGGCCATTGACCCGGGCTGACGTCAGAGCGGCCCTCACGTGTAGGGCCTCGAACCATCCCCGAGCGCACCCTATCGAGACCACACTTACTTTGGATATGAACTGTGAGTATTCAATTGTTTATTTATTTAGTTTTTAATGGCAAGATAGTTAGTACCTACATAAGATAAGCTTGGGATTGGGGTCCGGGGCATCCTGAGGGTAGGGCCATTGGCCCGGACTGATGTTAGAGCGGCCCTCACGTGTGGGGCCTCGAACCATCCCCGAGCGCACCCTATCGAGACCACACTTACTTTGGATATGAACTGTGAGTATTTAGTATTGTTTATAGCCTAGTTATGTACCACACGTTCGCGCTAAGTTTGCCGGTTCGTGGAATGCGCGTCCCCTTGCCGCGATTAAACGCAATTAGTTAGTGATTAAACGCAATTAATGTGTCTTATTTTACCCAAATACACAATTTTTATCAATAATAGGAATAAATAAAAAATATTTCAAATAGAGTTTGTTATAGTTTTATAGACGCTACCCTTTGAGTAACGTCATATCGCCAGCGGCAAACTTAGCGCGAACGGATAGTAAAACTTCTGGACGTAGACGGACAAAAAGTAGCTGTGTAAGTTGATAACGCCGTAAATAATAGGTTTATTATAAATTTTTGGTATTAATTTGGCCTATAAAGAGAACACAAGAAACACTTTGTCACGTTAATAACATAAAATGCGCGACTTTTGACCGTTAATTAATTACTGCCTAATTATGCAAGGCGTGTACTTAACATTACTGAAAACTAATTTCGACGCTTAATTCTAACATCAAACCATAATACAAGTCTATTAATTCCCACTGAACAAAAACAAGTTTTGAATAGTGAGCGTTTCGTTTCACGCAGCTGCGAGTAAAAACTTATCGCCCAAAGCGAAATGCCAAGAAGTGAACCCGCGCTCACTCGCTCTCGTCTCTAGAGAACCTCCGACACTCGTGTTCTTTGCCTTCAAAGAGTTGCCACTTACTCTGAGACAGTGCAGACTATATTTCACGTAGTTCAAAGTTTGTGGAACAAAAGAACGCGGGGAATATACGGTCTGGTGGTCTGGTGCACATTTTTGTAAAATTACATGTTTTATTTTTTATTTTGAGGATTTATTTTGGTTGCTGAAGTCTGTCTAGTTTGAAAATCTGGCCAGTTAGGAAAAAAATTCAAAATAATACCTTGAAGCTAAATAAGAAAAGATTGTTCCATTTTCGAATTCCTGTCAAAATCAAGCTGTATCTAAGTGGAATAATGTGATACGACCTTCATAATCAATCATGATAATTTTATCAGTGTACTGGCCAGTAAGAAACCTTTGAAACGATTAAATTCGAGCTCACTCGATTGTCTTTTGTTAATGTTTACATTATTTTATTCAATTTTGTGTTCGTTCAAGTTAAATTAACCAAAAATATGATCTCAAATACAAATTATAAGATGAAAATTTGAAATAATTTTATTTGAAATGAATATCAGGTACATTTTATTTACTTTACTAAGCAAAATTAAGTAGTGGTAGGCCAAGTTATTTGAGCCGTCCAAAAGTGCTTTGAAAGATCTGATAATCATGTCTCTTAAATAAAATGCTTTGAAAAACCGAATAAGTGTGAGCGTGAACGTCTACGGCAATAGATTTTGTATCTTAAGTAAGTAGATATAATAACTGCGAGTTTGCAACAAAACTGTATTTCCCGATTATGCTATCAATGAGGGCTATCGTTTTTATACTTAACAGTTGGCACCCCTGGCGATTGACAGGACCTTACTCTACAGTGGCGCCATCTTGATGAGTGCAAAGACGATAGTCCTCCTACCACTTTCGCGCTCACCAGCTGGTGCCACTGTCTTCGCTACTAGTAAGTGACAGGACCTTACTCTACAGTGGCGCTAACTGGTGAGCGCTAAAACGATAGCCCTCATTGTTCTACAACTATACTTACGCCCGTATTTACAAACATTACTATGAGGTCTCACAGTGCGCGTGGACGCACGGGTGACACACGAACCAATCAAAGCTCTATTCAACGCTATGCGTTCGATTTGCTGCTTCACATAAGCAAGCATCGTTTGTGAATACGGATATTAATGTCTACTATCACGGCACTGCGCTCACGCACAGCCCCTAAAATTAAATAAGATAAGATAAGATCACTTATCTTTTGTCCACAGTTCCTCCCCTCACAGTGCACATCCTCGGCTCAAACCAGCCTCTGTCAGCAAGTAGGAGGTACGACCTCCTCTGCCAGAGTTCAGGGTCGAGACCTCCCGCCTCCATCACGTGGTGGAAGAACGGGCATAGGATCAACAACGCTAAGGAGACGGTAAGTTTGTTTTATGTTCTATTTTGTATTAACCATTTTCTTTAAAAAAACACACTGTGTATGCGCAGAATCTGTATTTGTCCAGCAGTGGACGTCAGACGACTTAGGCTGGGTTCCACCAGCTTACTTTAACTTTGACAAAGTCAAAAATCTGTCAAACTCCATACAAAAAACATCGGATAACGTTATAGTTACCGTCAAAGTTAGGTGGTGCAACTCAGCCTTAGAGTGAATTAGTACGACCCAAATAAAATATAAAATGCTCATCTTCTCAATTAATTTACTTTTAGATTATCTGGAGGGTTACTAGTAAATTGTACTAAAAAGAGCGAACCAGTTGTTTTGAAAAGTGAGATACAATGTTCAATATTTTTACTTTATTAATCTAGAATAACCTAAACTTTTTAGATTTTAGTTTATTTTTATAGACAAATTGAAATATTGATGAATTTCCCATTCGCAAGAGATAAAAAAGTACCTATTTGCCAAACATTGTATCCAACAGAAAATATCTCGAAAATGAAGAGATTACTCCAATATTTTTTATTGAGTTGTTATGTTCCGATTCTTACCAAAGTGTATTAGACGCGAAAACCTCACCTGCTGCTCCAATCGCATTATCCACCAATAAAATTGATAATGCAAGAACAAACCTTACACAGATTGGAACAAGTTGGATTTTCCTTTGACGATGCTAAACACGTACGCGTTTACTCATGAAAAAAACATTAAGGCCTATCAAAAACCCTTTAGCTTAATAATAAATTATGTACGAGCAACAGTCGTTGTTTCGGCAAAATGTTGTAGGAAAAAATAAATTACAATAATCCATGCTAGCCTTCGTAATCCTGAAGACGGAATATTACAGCTTTTTGTTTTCAAATTAAACGGTATTTTATTGGTCCGCCGAATAATATGTAAAAATCTGAATTTAATGAGATATTTCTTGTTTTTATCAGTCATTATAACAATGACAATGTGGTGATGGTCGTCATGCATGAGTTGTTATAATAATCTTTCAGTTTACATAAATGTTCTTGGGTCGTGTGTTGCTTATTACATAGGAGCAGTTGTTTTTTACTTCATTTGCTCAATAATTTGTTTATATGATAACACGTGTGATATCTTTAAATCTGAAACTATACAATTTGACATACCTAAAAGCTTAATTTCAATTTAATCTTATTAATTTGCTATTTTGCGACAATACTGCCTCTATTTTATAGCTTAATGTTGTGGGCTAAAACCAGTTAAGACCAAAAGCAACCTGTTAAATTACTGTCGTAGACAATAACCAGCTGCTTAAAAAAGGACACCATTAAACGGCTCATCGATCTTGACAAATGGGACAGCCAATTTATCTCTCAATAATCTTTACTGCCATAAGAAACAACATCCGGAGCAAACTTAAAATAAGAGCACGTAAAAGTAATAAATGTAGATTGAATGGGACAGGCCAGAGCTCGCATCGCACTCAAATCGGTCGTAAGGGACCTGCCTAAGTTTTGGCAGGGCCACAGTGTAAGTGGATGTAGTAGCAGTGATATTTACAAGCCCTTGGACAATGGACATATTATCTTGTCGAGAAAAAAATAACTGCGTTATGTAAAACTGCTTGCAATTGCTGCTGCAAGCGTCATCAAGTATAATGAGTGGTCGGTTGAAAGATTCGAAAGTAATGAGGACCCCTGTGAAAGCAATATTTCTGTTATCTATTACCATAGGGGTCACTAAAATTAAGGAGTGATGGTGAAAACGGGCATGAGACTCATAAAATCAAAATAGTTAATATCAGAAACTTGGCTATATGAAAGCTCTACATGCCACAGACAGCATAATCTTCTAATATTGACAAGTCAGCCAGTCACTTACTACTATGTAAGCATATAATTTTACCACGGCTGCAGCATAGTAGCCGAAAGGTCAAGCCATGAGTACGTAATGTAACTCATTAATAAACGTCGCGTTAAGACCCGTGTCTTACTATTTTAGTTGAAATGGAACGCGAAAGCTTATAATATATAATTTTACGACGTTTTAAACTAATGATTATGGTAAATGGTTTTTTTTTCACAAGAAGTCTTAATAGTAGGTACTTAAGTTAGTAAATTGTTGTGTTCGCAGTAAGCCCTCGACTCTTTCTTATATTGTGGTCGACTGCTTGACGCAAGAGGTGGACGAGTGAGCTAACTAAACGAGATAAAACATTCATCTTGTAGCGGGATGAATAAGAAATACACAAATCTACTACGGGCCTACAGGCTGCAGGATGTGGGTAGTAGGAACTTGTGGAAAGATAAAGCCTGTAATTTTTGGCTAGCTTTTTTGGTTATTTTCTCTAAATTAGAAAACAAAATGATACTTTATCTATTGCATCCATTAGCTGTGCAAAGGATATTTATTATTATTATTAAATAAATACACTCTTTACTTCTGAACGTGCAAATCAAACTATGTTGAAAAAATGGTAAGCGAGGTATCCATTTTCATCATAGTTATACAGACAACAGCACATCAACTACAGTGGCATCTTATGTACTCATATTTATAAAACAGGTGTCATAGATCCTTTCTTCCCCTTTGAGTTTGCCACCGGGGTGGTGGTTGGCACCAATAGGTGGCGTTTGCGACATTTAAGTATATGTAATCTGATATTAATATGCTGTTGACTGCACATAACGACTTATAAAATAACATTAGATGCTACACAGTTCACCTTGACGCGTTGTCGTCCTAACGTCTGCATTTATAAAAAAGTGTCAAATAAATTTTATTNCCCAGATAGAGGTCAAATAACGTGTTCAACACATTCATACAAGTAAATGCGTAGGCAAAACCAACATCGCCAGTGTTTTAATATGCCACAAATTTGGCCCATTTTTGCAGGCGAAAAAGCTCTCCCAAAACTTTTACGATTTGTTAAGCCTTATCCAGTGATTTATTGCAAAACTTCAAACCGCTGTTGCTGTTTTCAAACGGACCCTTTTAGGTCCTGCTGCGAACTGCTGAACTTGTATCAAGTCTAAGTAATACACTTTTAGCAATACCAATTTATCAACCCTTTCAATCTGCTCAATAGATTAAGCTTGTTGGATTTTTTGCTCAATAGAACATCTTATTCGTGTACAAATTAGATCCAAAATTAAAGGACTTACAAATAATATTTAAACTTGTAGGCTGTTTACATTCATTATCTCAAAGTCAAATTAGTGCGTTTATAGTCGAAAATAGATTTGATACGTTTTAATTTAATACATAATAATTAATTATTACGATAAACAACATTGCTGTATCACACAGAGGCTAAAAGTTAAATGGTGTGTGTCGCTTAATGCACTCTCAAGCGATGGTAATGTGCATTTACGTCATGGATAAAATTAATAAATGGTATAACTTTAAACGAGTCCAAAGATAATGGATATGAAATTGCAATACAAATCCCTCGTCAATATACAGACAGATTATGGCTGGGTTCCCATCTTACTTTCATCAACATCATTTAATTTTCATCCATAGGACGTCCACTACTGAACATAGGCCTCCCCCAATGATTTCCATGTTGATCGGTTGTAGGTTATTTCAACTATAACAATCGTCAAAAATCTGTCAAACTCCATACAAAAAACACCGGTTATGGTTATAGTTAATTAAGTTTTTTGGGCGTCAACATCAAGAGTTCATACAAAGCGTTTGTAATTAAGTCCTTTTAGAAGTAACACGTAAAGGTAGCCTTATTAAAAAACTTTCGTCCCAGTATGCAGTGCAGTGTGGCAATTTAAAAAAAATACATTTTTCTTCCTCTGCTAGTTGAGTCCCGCTTTTATTAATTTCATTTGTCGCCGCGATACTTTCAACAAACTTCAGTATATCAAGTAATAATGAAAAAGACCACGTAGAATACAGGATGATTTTGCAAACAGATGCCAATTTTTTTGAATAAGCTCTATTATTATTCTGTCTAATGGCTTCAATGGTGCGAATTTGAAGCACACTGGTACAATAACTTAATGGTAATTATATTTAATCGTGGTATTTTTCTATAAAAAATAAGATACTGTTCACGGGTGCTCATAATCATAAGTTTCAAAGGCTAAGGCTTATACCATAATGTCTATTAAGCTTTGCTTTGCAGTTAAATGTGTGCATTTTTAGGAACGAAGTAAATTTATCCATGTGTGCCAATTTTTAAACCTGCAGCGGATAAAAATAATTAAATATGAAAAAAAAAAATTTTTTTTACGTAAATCGATTACCGTACCGGAAAGCGCAGCGTAGGACGTTCACCCACAAGGTGGATCCACGACCTCATAAAGGTAGCGCGAAGGCACTGGATGCCGGCAGCAACCCACCGGCCATTGTGGAAATGATAATGATGATGATCAAGTTACTGATTTTGAGCCGCTCCTAAAAATTTGGCAAGTGTTTGCTTGCAAAATCACCCTGTATACCCAACCTCACGAGGTATAAATTTCACAGGGCAACCTCGTCAGAACAGATTTTGATTAGGGTATAATATGCGATGTCAATCAAATATTCCCGTATGTAATATATTAACATTTAAGCTTTACTCTTGAGTTTGATTGTTGTGCGTAATTTAATTAAATCCCGAGCCGACGTGCCAAGGAGAAATTAATATTAACAAGTCTTAATTAAAATCAATTAGAACAGGATTCAGACTATATTATCTGGCAGTCGATATGTAAGTTTTTCTTTGGTACAATAACATTTTGATTGTAAGCTAACAGTTGGATATTTGAAAGTAGACGACGGGTTAGTCATCCAATTAAAAAATCTTGAGATATGAAGACCATAATGTAACTTTATAGCTTGTCTTTTTATCTCCATGCATTGCTGATTGTGCAAATTTACTAACCAATCATTTGAATCCATTGTTGGGCGTAGAGTCATATCTTCTTGAGTTTCTAATAATAAAAGTGTATTAAAATGTATTTTTGAAACTGTTACAAATACATACAGAAGTTCACTTAGATGCCTTTTGC